GTCTCGACTTTGTTCCTGTGTGGGGGGAGGGGGGACTCTCTGGTCTCGACTTTGTTCCTGTGTGGGGGGAGGGGGGGAGGCTTTACGCTTTTGGGGGAGAAAATTTATCTGATGCGTATATTTTACGGTCATGCTTCATGCTTTTTGATAAAATAATATTAAAATATAATATTAAAATAAGTTAAATATTTAAATATTAATTAAAAGGTGTATATAATATTAAAAAAATTAAAATCAAAGCAAATATTTTTGAGTCTATTGCCATTTCATTTTTTCTTTTTTTTATATTTTACTGTGTTATTTGTACCTTTATTTAATTTTATAATTTATTTAAAAATATAAAAAATAGTAGCATATTAATTTTATAATTTATTTGTACTTTTATTTAATTTTTGAATAATATTTATTTACAATTATTATTTTATATATATTAATTTATTTATTTTTTAATACATATCCTAAACGTATCGTATCCTATATTTTTAAAATTTGACGTATCGCCGTATCGGATACGTATCGTATCTGATACGTATCCGTGCATCATTGATTTTAGTCAATAAAACGACAAATGAAAGAATCCACGGGCAAATATTGTATTTGATATGCTTTAAACTTTTTCTGAACTCAAGTGTTATCCATCATGTTAGTGTTGTCGGGAAGACCCAATAACTATTGGTTGGTCTTCTTCAATACACTAGTCATTACTTTCTTAACTTAATTATCTGGTTGTTATTATTAACTCTGCTTTATCTGCATTATGATTAACCTTGACTTATTCATTCACAAAATTAAGTTGTCCTAATTTTCGCATATATTCCTTTGTTATAATTTTGTTTGGTCACTCCCTTTTCTTCCATGGCCGCAGAATTAGTTGGTGGTGCTCTTCTTTCTTCTTTCCTTCAAGTTGCATTTGATAGACTGGCTTCTCATCAAGTTTTGGACTACTTTCGTGGAAGAAAGCTTAACGAGAAGTTGCTGAAGAAGTTGAAGGTGAAGCTGCTCTCCATAAGTGTTGTGATTGATGATGCAGAAGAAAAGCAATTCAGTAATTCATATGTGAAAGCATGGCTTGATGAGGTCAAAGATGTTGTGTTTGATGCAGAGGATCTGTTGGATGAAATAGACTATGAGTTCTCCAAATGCAAGTTGGAAGCTGAATCATATACCGCTACTAACAAGGTACGCAATTTTGACACGGAAATTGTAACAAGGATGAAACAAGTCCTTGATGACCTGGAATATCTCTCAAGCCAAAAGAGTGATCTTGGTTTGGAAGAGGCTAGGGGTGTTGGTGTTGGATCAAGATTGAGTAGTAAAGTGTCACAAAAATTGCCATCAACATCTTTGGTAGTTGAAAGTGTTATTTATGGTAGAGATGATGAAAAGGAAGTTATCTTTAATTGGCTCACAACTAACACTAATAAGGGTAACCAGCTATCAATACTTTCTATAGTGGGCATGGGTGGGGTTGGTAAGACCACGCTTGCCCAACATGTATACAATGATCCAAGGATGGAGGAGGCTAACTTTGGCATCAAAGCTTGGGTTTGTGTTTCGAATGATTTTGATGTTTTGACAGTATCGAAAAAAATTCTTGAGGCAATCACTAAATCAAAAGATGATAGTGGAGACCTAGAAATGGTTCATGGAAGATTGAAAGAAAAGTTGTCAGGGAAGATATTTCTTTTGGTTTTAGATGATGTTTGGAATGAAAGACGGGAGAAATGGGAAGTTGTGCAAACTCCTCTCATTTATGGGGCACAAGGAAGTAAAATTCTTGTCACGACACGAAGTAAGAAAGTTTCTTCGATGATGCAGTCAAATAAAGTACATCACCTAAAGCAATTACAAGAAGATCATAGTTGGCAAGTTTTTGCCAAACACGCACTCCAAGATGATAATACTCAAGCAAATTTTGAATTGAAGGAGATTGGTATAAAAATAGTTAAGAAGTGTAAAGGATTGCCTCTAGCCTTGAAAACAATTGGAAGTCTTCTACACACAAAATCATCTATTTCAGAGTGGATAAATATATTGACAAGCAAGATATGGGACTTACCAAAGGAATATAGTGAAATTATTCCTGCTTTATTATTGAGTTATTATCACCTTCCTTCTCATCTCAAGAGATGTTTTGCTTATTGTGCCTTATTCCCCAAAGATTATGAGTTTGATAGGGAAGGTTTAGTTCTGTTGTGGATGGCTGAAAATTTTCTAGAATGCCCTCGAGAGAACAAAAGTCTAGAAGATGTTGGTGAAGAGTACTTTGATGATCTATTATCGAGGTCTTTCTTTCAACAATCACACCCATACAAAACGTATTTTGTCATGCATGACCTTCTTAATGATTTGGCAAAATATGTTTGTGGAGACATCTGTTTCAGGTTAGGAGTTGATAAGGCAAAAAGTATACCGAGATCGACCCGTCATGTTTCATTTGTAATGAAAAACTTCCATGGGCTTGAGAATTTATATGAAGCTAAAAGGTTACGTACATTCATGCCAACAATTGGAACAACGGATATTTTTTGTAGTGGTTGGCATTGCAAGACATTGATACATGAGTTGTTCTCCAGGTTTAAGTTCTTACACATATTATCTTTGTCTTCTTGTTCTGACCTTACAGAGGTGCCTGACTCTGTAGGTGATCTTAAACACCTTCGTTCCTTAGACCTTTCTGAAACTGATATAAAAAAACTACCCGATTCAATATGTTCCCTCTACAACTTGCAAATACTAAAGTTGAGTCGTTGTATATATTTGGAGGAGCTACCATTGAATTTGTATAAACTCATCAATTTGCGTCACCTTGAGTTCTCATGGACTAAAGTTAGAAAGGTGCCAATGCATTTGGGAAATTTGAAGAATCTTCATGTATTGAGTTCATTTTATGTTGGTAAAAGTGATGAGTCTAGTATTCAGCAGCTACGAGAACTCAATCTTCATGGAAGGCTATCAATTGGTCAGATAAAGAATATTCACAATCCTGTGGATGCATTAGCAGCAGATTTAAAAAATAAAACACGTCTTGCTGAGTTAAAGTTAAATTGGAATTGGAATTGGAACCAGAACCAGACCCCTAGTGATCCAAGGAAAGAAAGAGAAATACTTGAAAATCTTCAACCTTCCAAATACTTGAAATATTTTTCTATCCGAAACTATGGAGGTACACAATTTTCAAGTTGGTTATTTGATAATTCATTATTGAACGTTGCATCCTTAAGTTTGGGCAATTGTAAATACTGTCTATGTTTGCCTCCCCTTGGACTTTTGCCATTTCTCAAATGTCTAAAGATTACAGGGCTTGATGGGATAGTGAGTATTGATGATAATTTTTGTGGGAGTAGCACTTCATCATTTACATCTTTGAAAAGATTGAACTTCTCCAAGATGAAGGAATGGGAAGAATGGGAATGTAAGGATGGTGCTTTTCCATGTCTTGACCATCTTTCTATAGTCAAATGTCCCAAGTTGAAAGGGAACCTACCAAAGCAACTTCTTCATTTGAAGAATCTAGATATTCATGACTGTAGACAACTTGTGGCTTCTGCTCCAGTGGCTCGAGAAATTTGTGAATTAGATCTACATGATTGTGGAGAGTTGCAATTTGATTATTATCCAACTTCTTTGAAAAGGCTCACCATTGGTGGACACAACATGGAAACGTCATTGTTAGAAAGAGTTAGACATATCATATATGATGCTTCTCTTGAATTATTGCACATTTATTCTTGTCCAAATATGCATATTCCCATGAGTTGTTGCTATGATTTCCTAATAATATTGGAAATTCGTGGTGGATGTGACTCTCTAACGATCTTTTCGCTAGATTTCTTCCCAAAACTTCATTTGCTAGATCTTAGGTGTCATAATCTACAAGCAATTTCACAAGAGCACGCTCATAATCATCTCAAGGATCTATACATTAGTGGGTGCCCTCTATTTGAATCATTTCCTAGTGAAGGATTATTTGCACCTTGCTTAGAGAGATTTAGTATCAAAGCATTGCAGAATTTGAAATCATTGCCTAAAAACATGCATATCCTCCTTCCATCACTTGATGACCTACAAATAGAAGATTGTCCAAAAGTTGAGTCATTCCCTATTGGAGGTTTGCCATCAAATTTGAAAAGGATAGATCTATCGAATTGCTACAAACTTATCCCCTCACTTAAAGAGGCTTTGGGAGCCAACACCTCTCTAAAAAACTTGTCTATTGGAAAATTGGATGTGGAGTCTTTTCCTAATGAGGGTTGGCTACCACTCTCTCTTACTTCTCTATTCATCTATGATTGTCCAAATCTTAAACAAATGGACCATAAGGGTCTCCTCCAACTCTCCTCTCTTAAGGGATTGATTATTGAAGACTGCCCCAATCTCCAATACTTACCGGAGGATGGTCTACCCAAATCCATTTCAACTCTCGAAATTCGGATGTGTCCATTGCTCAAACAAAAACTAGAAGGCAAAAATCAGGGAAAGTTTTCTCACATAAAAAATGTTCGATTTGATGAATGGTGATGATTAAACCAATAAGATGAACCACAAGTTCAAAATTTCAATTCTCATGTGTTTATCTTTTCATCAGGTGCCATTTCTCCCCATTATCTTTTGCAGCTTTTGAAATATAAGCTTGTTTATTGGAAATAATGCACTCTCTAGTTAGCATTTACCAAACAACAAAAATGCAATTTACATCTAAATTGATTACTATTTGTAATGTAGGATGGCTTAACCACTTTCTTCACGCATCATATACGTATCCCCTTGTTGAAGCTGAATTCCAATCAAATGAGTTGCTTATATTTATGATACTTGGAAAATGGGGATGACAGTGAAGTGTGAATGTCATTGGGAGTAATGGTGATTTCATCTTCCTCAAGCTTTTTGGGTAAATTTGTTTTCTCACCAGCGCTCCTTCTAAGTTCATACTTCTTACATTATTTTGTGGAATTCGTTGCTCATAATGCCTTTTTTGAGTTTTCATGCAAAGAGTCTTTTCTATTATTATAACGTTTTATTTCCTTTCGGAGTCAATTGGGCTAGCCAAAAATGCATTGAGAAAGCATATTAGGCATTATGAACTTAGTCTTGCTCTTTGCATGTTATAATTTTGTGAATTCTAGATAAAGCAATGTTCATAATCTTGTTAGAATTTTATCCGTACATTCTTTATGATAGACAAAATGACAGATATATGTTTGGGCACATAAACTAATGTCCAAAACAAACTAGAATAACCATCTCGTTCCCAAGCTAACATGCAGTATATACTCTGCATCATCACATTAGACACCTGCATTCAAGGACTTCAAAGGCTTTTGTAGGAAGTTGGTCATCCCTTTATCAGATTCACTGTTATGTATCTATTCTATTCCATAGAAACTTGAGTTTCACAACCTTCACCATTTTCTTGGTGTCCAAATTGTCAGCAACCATGAACACTATATTAAACAATTTATTAGACAGAATTCAACTATAAGTTGGAGCACAATGATATTAGATATTGACATATTGTCACATGTTAAAAGGAAAAGACTTAAAAATGTGCTATTTTGTGAAAGAAAGTGGATGCGATGCAGACACTAGTAAAAATACAGCTAATAACTCATAAATCAAAATCATCTCATATGAGTAAGTTGAGCCATCCTCCTCTAAAACATTAATCGCATTAGCTGTCACTTATACTACTATCGTTGCTGACTCGAGTGAAAGTGTGAAACATTTTGAATAGGTATCTGGTCTAGATAACATAAGAATTGGCTCATTCAAACTTTAGTTCATTCTATTATTATCATCATTCTGGTTGCATTCAGTGTGTCAGCAATATTTATCATTAGTCTTTTAAAAATACTATTTGAGCTACAAACTAAGAATCCAGTAGTGGACAGAGTTTTTTATTTAGGAGTACAAGAGATGCACCAGGTTGTGCAAGTCATTGAGCAATGATTTTAAATCATATAACTATTCCCTAAAATATCACTCTAGCTTGGGTACAAATCTTCCACCACTGAGGAGTGAAACAAATTTGGGACACCCCACAATGTGAGATTATGATTATGCTATAGAGACAAAAATCATATTAAGCTTCCCATTTTTTATCAAAAACATAGTATTGAATTTTGGGAAGAAGCACAATAAAAAAAAATCCTTAAACAAGCGAACAAAAACCACAATAAGCTAATCTCATTAAACAGTATCTAGAGAGATTATATTATTTTCTAAGATCAATAATCATTTTAATTATTTTATGAATTCAGATATGCTCCGTAGATGTGGACAAGATATGTCACAGTTGAATTTTGTTCCAAGTTATTTACCATAAAATATTGTGTCATTGATGACTGGTTTTTGGCATATTGTATAACAATTTGAAGACTTGACTTCTAAAGACTAACGAGATATATTGTACATTTTGTTTCACAAGCAGGATTCAAAATCCACTATTAAAGTTGTATTTCAACTTAATGTGTTTCTTATATTTAGGACACTTGAAAATGGTGAAAGTAGTCATGTGCTTAAGTTCCACATATATTTAGTAAAGAGAACTCTGTCATTGGAAGTTATGCTGGTTTCATCTTCCTTTAGCTTGTTGGGTAAATTTGTTTTCTCACCTCCACTCTTCTTTCTTTCTGCTTTGTTCATACTTTCAAAAATTATTATATGGAACTGATGGGGTTATATTATGGTATTTGTCTTAGAGGATATTTTATGAGGATTATTTTTATAAAGTTATTACACAAGCATATTCCACAATGATGAGATATTGTCCGCTTTGGGCCTAAGTACTCACGGTTTTGTTTTTGGTTATCACCCAAAAGGCCTCTCAATCATTGAAATATGTTTGTGTTATATAAGTTGTTATTTCTTGTCTTATTTTATAAGATATGTGACTTATTTGTATCCTAAGAGGAACTTCTCTTCTTGCAATATCTTTCTTCTTCCAGTTTTCTTGCAAAAAAATCTTATTTATTGGATATGACATTTTGTTGTAATTTGATGTCAATTTGACTCAATCTTTGACCAAAAAAAACACTGAAAAAGCATTCCGAGCATTATGAACTTAGTCTTGCTTCATGCACAGCTTCCTATGTTGTTGGTTTTGTTTTTTAATTTCTTTTAGTGTCTCTTCTCAACTTTTCTTATTTTATGTTCTCATGCTACTGTTCCACATACCTGTCTGGTAATATTGTAATAACATATTATTTTCTAAATTTCTGTTTTTAAATGTTTCTGGAATTCCAAAACACAATCTACGGAAGGAATTAAATATATATACTACTGTTCCACAATAGAATATTTTGCAGTGATTTAAAATTTCTGGAATTCTACTGTGGTAGGCACATTCATCCCATCTAATTGACACGTGGATATAGAAAGAAATAATTGTCAACTTCAAGCTCTTAAACCTTTAAGTTTTCTTCGGCATTTGTACCAGGATTATAAAACAAATTTCGGGTGCAAAATTAGGCCAAGAAAGAATGTGATAGATTTAACACTGATGTGAGATTTGCTCTTTTTCTGAAGGTAAATCAAGCAACTTAGCATCATATTATCTTTCGTTTCATTCGATATAGATTCTTAAAATTCTCCAATGTTCCTTTTTCTCATCTAATTGTTGAATTTTATGATTTTATGACTTAGATTGAAAGAGTTGTCAATCAAGAGTTGTGTTGGTAAAAGATTTTCAAATTGGTTTGGACTTTGGAGATGATTCATTATCCAATGTGGATTCCTTAAAGTTTAGCAATCATAAAAATTGTGTCCTACTCCTACCTTGAACTCTTGCTATCTTTCAAGAATCTATCAATAATAAGGCTTGATAGTAAAGAGATTACTTGTTCCGAGTTTCAAGAAACTGTCAATGATAGATCTTCTATTATTTCATTTGCATAGTTAGAAACCTCGATCTTCATGTACTTACAGGAATGGAAATGTAAAATAGTGCGGGGAGCTTGTCCACATCTAGAAAATCAATCTATTATGAATTGTCACAAGCTGAATACCAGAGCAACTTCCTTGTTTAATGATTTTTAGCTCGTTGCTTTTGTTTCCTTTTTTAAGGATCTTTCCATTGTGTTTCTTCCCAAAACTCATTACTATGCTTTTGATGAACAGTGGAATTCTTAATATGATTTTTGTCCCAGCAGCCTAGTCATAATCTCATTGTGGTGTTGTTAAGAACTTTGGAAGAACCACTCCACAAAAGCTAGCTGTAATAGCTAGTGTCTAAGACATTATAAACCTAGAATCTCATACTTTTAATGTGAAACTCAAGTCCCAAACCATGTGATTGAATCTTAACATTCTGGACTTAAATATATATTTTTAAACAAATATCTTTTTAGGGGACTTATAATAAAATTTGAACCTATAATTTATACAAAAGAAATTATAGCGACACTCTCTCTAGCACTCTCTAATATTGGTTGATAATCATAAATTTTGGTTGATTTTAAATACAATCTTGATCTTAATCATTTATATTTTAGTTATACTTTAATATATGAACAATTTCTTTCTTTTTGTCAGGCCAAAATACCATCTTCAAGTTCAAGACCATAATGAACCTGTGGGACTAGGATACTTGGTTTAATGCCAGTAGGATAATGAAATCATGTAGCATCTGAAATGAGTTTGCTCAGCGTTGAGCCAGTCCAGTACGAATTCATTGTCCCAAATCCAAGTTCATTGGCGACCCTTAAATGAGTTTGAAATAGCCCAAAGCCTTCATTCAAGATCCATGTTGTGTTTGGTGCTGGAGTTAAGGTAGATAGTGGATAATACTAAATAATAAGGATTCCCAAAACTGAATACTATTGAGTGGAAATAATTAAAAGATCTAAAAGAAAAAATTCTTGCTACAGACTTTGTTATTGCTTCCTGAAGCAATAGCAATGAAAATTGGCAATTAATTTAAACCAACAATGGCAATACAATAATACTGATTGGCGATTTATCGGACTTAGGTAGTGTACCCTATGGTAATTGGCTATCAATTTCCCAAGTTCATTATTTTAGTAATTATTAGTATCTTACACGCGGCAATATTTTTTTTTAACAAGGAGATACTCATTCCCTTCGAGTCCATCAATATAGTCCATCAATATAATGGTAAAGTAGTATTTTTTATTGTAACTTCATGTCCAAGAAAAAAATCAAATTCTTATTCTTGTTTAAAAAAAATAATATCAAATCTCTTGATCTACCAGACTTTTGGTACATGTAATATGCATTAGCTAAGCATTCAATTGTTGCACTAGACAAGTTCACACAGTATATCGAGTATGTTGTGCTGGTACAAATTAGGAAATTTGAATTAAATGTTGGCCTGCAAAATGCATTTTACACTCCGATATGTTCCAGAAAATAGTGTTAATGGACTGATTCAAACCAACAAAATGAGAATTCAAAGTTAATAGAGTGATCAACAATAATTTTACTGCTACAGTCTAAATCAATCTGTGTTACGATCCATTCTTGTAACAAACCATTAAAGATCAGGACAGATCACACACAAAAAAATAAGAGAACTAGATGAACTAAACCAGAAGAACATACCAGATCATAAAAAAAGAGCAAACCCGATTCTAGATATTTGGAAATTTTCTTAACTTATTTCATTTCTATCAAGCCTCTTTCCAACCACTACAATCAAGCCTTATCCCGAGAGAAGGTAAAGTACGTGCAGTACATCAATTGATGTTAGTGGACTATATGAAAAAATAAATTTTTAATGGTGTTATTTACAGCAATGTCTTAATGAGTTTTTTACTCAAACAATACTATTTTAAAAAAAATTTACTCAAATAGTAATTGTGCAAATTTATTTTCCCAATTACTGTTCACTTTCGGAACGAGTCGTTCTGAAATCAGAACGGGCCGTTCCGGATTAAAAAATAACAAATGGCAAACGGATCAGAACGAACTATTCCAAAATAAAAAATTAGCACATAAAAAGTGAAACCAGAACGGGTTGTTCTACACCCAGAACGGGTTGTTCTACATCCAGAACGGGCCGTTCTGTCCTACAAATAAATTTTTTTTGTTCGATTTTCACTTATCAAATACCAAAACTCATAAACTAACATCAAATAATTAAATTTATTGAATATTAACATTATAAATATATCTAAATAAATTTATTAAAATTCAATACAACAATAAAGATCAATAGTGGCAGAAACTGATTATGTTATTCACTAACATCCATCTCTATTTTAATCCTGCTGGACTTTGGCCGACCCTTGAAAATTCGCTTGAGTTCTGGATTTGACCACAAAGTTGGACCAGTGTAAGTAGGCCAATAATCTTCATGTTGGAGCTCTCCAAACTGTCCTTCGTATACCTTTTTGGAACTTGTCGCAATCATACCACATTTCATTTAGCCTTACTGTAAATCTCCCAGCGGGTCAAACTTCTCTCGGATGTTGTATTTCTTTCAATTTTGTGGCCAAATCCAGAACTCAAGAGAACTTTCAAGGGTCGGTCAAAGTCTAGCAGGATTAGAACAGAGATAGACATTAGAGAACAACATAATCATGTAAAAAATTGTTCTTATTGTCAGACCCTTGGTCACACTAGGAAGACATATCCAAATATTGGTCATGAATTCAGTTTCTGCCACCACTGATTTTTATTTTTGTAATGAATTTTAATAAATTTATTTAGTTATATTTATAATATTAATATTCAATAAATTTAATCACTTGATGGTAGTCTCTGAGTTTTGGTTTTTGATAAGTGAAAATCAAACAAAAAAAATTTTATTTATAGGCCAGAACGGCCCGTTCTGGATGCAGAACGGCCCGTTCTGGTTCCACTTTTTATGTGCTAATTTTGATTTTGGAACGACCCATTCTGATCCGTTTGTCATGTGTTATTTTTTAATCTAGAATGACCCGTTCTGATTTTAGAACGATCCGTCTTGAAACGTGAACAGTAAATGGTGCTAATTAGGGAAATAAATTTGCACAATTGCTATTTGGGTAAAAAAAATTTAAAATAGTATTATTTGTGTAAATCATTCATGTCATAATAGCATTTTCTCCATGATTATTCTTAGGTGATTCTCTACCCCTTTAAAAGACATAAAAACAAAAAGCTAAAAGAATATAGAAGGTTTGACTTAGAACTCCCAAAATCGATTCCTTTCGGTGTTAATTGGCCATCGAAAGTTACCTCCCGTGAACACTGAATTATTCTTGATTTTCAGTTTTGAGAAGAAAAAAAAAGACTTAAATATGTTTGTAATTCTTATAAAATAAGTGAATTTTGATTTTAGTTTCTTTAAATATTTTATTTTCATTTTTCATCATTCTAAAATTCATAAACATTATTTTTAATCTATGTGAAATAAATAAATTTTGGTTTTGATTCTTGTAAAATATTTGTTTTAATTTTCATCTCTCAAAAAATTTAAAGTCACTATTTTTAGTCTCTTAAGGTATAGATAAATAAAAGTTATTTTATAGATAGATAGATAGATATATACATCTTTTGTTTTAAATATAAATAAATCTAACTATCTTTGTCTCATTTAATGATATTTTTTCTAAAATATTCCTGTTGTAATGTATGATCATTTAGTTGCACTACTTCTTTTAGTATTTATAACAAGTTTCTTATGTTGAAGATGAACAAATGATTGATGTCTTTGATGAATATATCGGTTAAAAAAGTAACATACACCAAAGAGATCAATCACTTGTTCATCTTCAACATAAGAAACTAGTTGTATTGGAAGAGAAATTTGAAAAGTTGAAGCATCTGAGTCACTTGATTTTACTTTCACATATTTATCAGACAATTCATAGTTTTTTTCCTTTGATGTTTAATCTTTTATTCCCCCCAACTAGAAGCATCAATTTATTTATAACAAAACTCAATTGTTCTAAACTTCATTCTTGGATCATGAACAACACTAACAGGAAGAATCTCACAATACTCATGTCAATATTTTCTAAATGTCATGTCCTTAATCAATGGATCATCATCACTCACAACAAAATCACAAAACAAACATTTAATTTTCCACACTTGTATAAAGTAAAAATTAGATGTTGGATATGATGAACTAAAAATCAAATTAGTCATGACATAAAATGACTTCAAAAACTCACAGTTTTTCAACCCTTTTTCCATTCTTTATTTGAAAGACAATGAACATAGTTTCTATCGCAAATAACCAAACAACCAAAAACACATTAGTATTTAATTGTACTTTCTAGCAAGACATTGGCACAATGTCACCTAGTTGGTACATCCATTTTTAAACTGACCTTAGTGTCTATATCCCTCACTCGAAGTACATTTTCCTTAAATGCAATCTTTCTTACCTTCAATACTTCCACATATTTTATATTCTCTTTAATCTTTTTCAAAGCTCCTACAGTCACCCTTAAACCCTTTTGAACAATAGCGTTCAATGCATGTGCATTACACCTCATATGGAAGTAATCACCATTACAAATCAAAGCATTTTGCAAATTAAATAGATTTTTCATAATGATTACCATCAAGTCATTTGATATTAGCATTCTCTAAAGTTACAAAAAAGACATTCCTATCTTTTCCCCAGTCAACCACTGCTTGAATTTTTTTTCAACCATTTCACAATCACCATGTTGAGGGGCCCATTTAGAAAATGAAATAATATTTCTATTCAATTTCTAATTAACATCAACAAAATGTGTAGTGACACAAATATACCCTTCTTGTGTAATGCAAGTCCAACAATCAACAATCAAACATATCTTATTTTGAGCTCTACGCATTGCAAGCTTCAATTTGTATTTTTCTTCAACAAAAATTCTTCTATGATTAGATACAGTTGTATTTCTGCTTGGAATTTTTAACCTAGTATGTAAATACAAGAGCAATTCTCTTATCCATTTATACTTAACAAAACTAAATGACAACCCATGTTGGATTATAGCTCTTGAAAGTAAATCCTCTACATGTTTTTTATTTATTTATCTAGACCTTAAACTTCCTAATTGATCGATTATTATATTTCCCACCTTTGCATTTTTTTCTTCTTCTTTAGCAATACATCACACTTTTTCCAATTGATGCAAGATGGATGAAGTGCCTTTTCTACACCTCTACAAACATATTCTTATCCACAATGTTTGCATGAAACTTTCTCTTTACCATCTTTTTTACCAATTTTATTAAAAGTATCCTAAACTATAGTTCATATTTAACTCTTATTCTTCTCAACATATTTATTTAATTTTCAAACATTGTAAAGAAAAAAACATAAAAGGTTGGGTTGTGGCAACACTCACAACATAAAACAATCTATCTGAACTCACAAACTTATAGAGTGGACTAATCCCTCAATATTATTATTGTTTGCGAAATTCCCATCACCAATTAATCATCCAAACACTAATCCCTAACACAAACCACTAAACAAATAAAATAATCCCTAATTCAGTATTGTTATTTCAATTTTAGTTCACTAAAATTTCACCATGTTTACCTTGAGAAACATCAACACTTCATGA